CTTGATTTTCAAAGAAAAACTGAAGACCTGTGATAAGATTATTTATAAAGACATCTAATCCTGCAGGAGGTCTGACATATTTGCTGTGGCTGAAGCACACAGTAAAAATCTACATCACTGATACACTCAGAATTACTGGTAGATGACAATTTTGCAGCACGGTAGTACAGATCAGTGTCTCGGTGTGCTGAACACTTATTATATTCAGCATAATTTAAAAAAAAAAAGAGGTGGAAAAGCAGCAACTGTAATGCACTACTTTTGTCAACATTTTTCAGAAGTTAAAAAATTATTCTACCAAAAATCAATTTTATCATTGCACTGGGCTAGAGTATACCTAGTTTGCCATTACCAAATTTGTGGACGACACCAAGTTGGGTGGGAGTGTTGATCTACTGGAGGGCAGAAAGGTTCTGCAGAGGGACCTGGACAGGCTGGATCAATGGGTCAAGGCCTGTGGCATAAGGCTCAAACAGGCCAAGTGCTGGGTCATGCCCTTGGGTCACAACCACTCCTGCAGTGCTACAGGCTGGAGAAGAGTGGCTGGAAAGTGGCCAAGAGGAAAAGGACATGGGGGTGCTGGTCAACAGCAGCTGAACATGAGCCAGAGCATGCCCAGGTGGTCAGGAAGGCCAGTGGCATCCTGGCCTGTACCAGAATAGTGTGGTCAGCATGAAACACTATCAGCCTGGAGAAAAGGAGGCTCAGAGAAGACCTTATGGCTCTCCACAACTGCCTGAAGGGAGGCTGTAACCAGGCAGACATCAGCCCCTTCTCCCAGGCAACTGGCAATGAGAAGGTATAGTCTTAAGCTGTGCCAGGGGAGGTTGGACATTAGGATGAAATTCTTCCTGGAAAGGGTGATTAAATATTGGAATGGACTGCCCAGGAGGTGGTAGAGCCACCATCCCTAGAGGTGTTTAAGGAAAGACTGGATGTGGCACTCAGTGCCGTGGTCTGGCTGATGTGGTGGTGCTTGGTCACAGGTTGGACTTACGATCTCGGAGGTCTCCTCCAACCTAACTGATTCTGTGATTCTAGATAAACAGTCTCATTGTGAAACATGCCACTTAGTGGTCTTACCTGCAACTTTTTGAAGTTATTTTTGTTTTGCTTTGCTTTAGAATACAACAGTAAGATAACCAATGCTTAGATGTTTATCTAGCCATACATAGGGCTTGAAAATCTGTTGCAAGCAGGATGTTTTCCTGAGAAACTGCTATAAGCTTCTGTCAAATATAAAAAATACATTTCCAGGCCTTCTGGTTTTAATGAAAATCTTCCAATGCTCACTGAGCAGCTAGAAAGGAAAGAAAGCTGAGGGAAAAGACTAGCACACAAACACTGGTCTGACCAATCGCTTTTGAAGAACCTAAATATACGTAAAAGTCACAGAAGGAAAAAAACTCTTTTCACCACCTTTTGAAAGATGGTTTCTGATATATCTAGGAACACTTAAAGGTGAAGGATTAAGCCACCTTTACAGCTAGATAAATCCAGTATCTCCACTGTCTTCAGCAGCCACAGTACTATTCTATTATCAGTCTACTTATGAATCATATGGCTTCAAAATTAGTTCTAATTAAATAGAATTAGTACTAGATACTCTATAAAGTGCTTCTGGATGTACAGGTGAGATTGGCTAGAGACCTCTATGGTGACTGTAAGTGAAATAACTCACATTTTTCAATGTCTTGGTCACGTGAAGCATTATACAAGAACAAGGTATTGTGGCTAGTAATTGAGATTAGTAATTGGTAATTTTTATATTACAAGAACATCTGTGTTCTTTGCAGGCCTTTGTGACATCCAAAGGGCTTTGTGATTCTGCACTATATTCTCATCTTAATGGATAATGCTGATGCACTCTGCAAGAACTTGCGGGAAAGCAATTGCTACCTCAGACTGTTACAATCAGCTTACCAGGGAAATCTGCTTCAGTTTCCATAAGTGACACTGGGCAAGTCCCTAAGCCTGTCTCACCTGGATGTGGGTAAATTGGCAGGAGAAATAGTTTCGATTACACACCCTCAGCAGCTACACAGCAGGGAGCAGCACAACTGCCTAGCAAGTTTACTGAACGTATGCAGGAATAAATCTGCTGCTCTAAATCTGGCAGCTTTTGCAACTGTGAACTTTAATACTTACCTCCAAATACTTAATCCACCTGAAAATTTTACTACTGCTGTTTAACAGGAAGTGTATTAGGTCTTTTTTTAAGAAAAAAAAAAAAGCTCATGAGTGTTCATACCTACATCCTTTCTAGTCCTACTGAGAGTTTCATACGTAGCTTCTGTTGGTTAATATAGAACAAGAATAAATTGCCCCAATGCTGTCACACTTTTGTGCACTCTGAACAGTGGGGTATTGACCACTTTCCCCATTCCCTGATTAACAAAACCATTTATAAAATCTTTTACAGTGTGACATGGAGGCAAGAGAATACATATATTACTTCTGAAAATAAAGTAGAAATGCACTGAAGTTTGGGTGCCTCTGAGGAAGACAACTGCACACATATCGAGTAATAGTATCTTTTGGTTTTGAATTTCTTTTGATCTTCTCAATAGTTGCAGGATGTGAGCATGAATGAGAGGTGTGTGTGGCCAGAGAAATTTGCCTCACACAGCATTTCTTACTGAATTGATGACAACAAATGGGAAGATGTGCAGTAGCCCTCACCATAACTTTCTTGTGTATTATGCCCAGGTAAGTACATCCCAGCTCTTAGCACAGGGCTTTCCCAGGGTTCTCACTAAGCCATGCTGAAGACCACTGGATCCACTTAGATTCTTGCCACTGCATAAGTAAAAGCATCCTTTAGATTTTTATATACTTTTTTACACTTTTCTACTTTTCCAGATAGCGAGTTCTTACAATGCCTCAACTTGCTACACAACTGGTTTTTATTGGGACCTACTTCTACTATCAGCACATTTTAGTCCCTAGCTAAGCCACGCTGAAGACCACTAGATCCATTTAGATTCTTGCCACTGCATAAGTAAAAGCATCCTTTAGATTTTTATATACTTTTTTACACTTTTCTACTTTTCCAGATAGCAAATTCTTACAATGCCTCAACGTACTTGCTACACAACTAGTTTTTATTGGGACCTACTTCTACTATCAGCACATTTTAGTCCCTAAGTTCTTCCAGTGAAACAACACAATAATAAATTTACTACTAGTAATTTCAGATTTCCATTTGCCTTGAAGCTTCTTGATATATGCCATTTCAGGGACAGAGTAGAACAGAGAAACAAATGCAAGCATTGCTAAAAGAGCCCAAGGTAAGTGTCAGTCAAAACACCACAAGGATTTGTGTAGTTCTTCCAAAGTTTTCCGTGTCTTTCTCAACTGTAGAAGGCAAAGCAGTAGATCTGGGGGGTTTAACAAGTCTTTTTACCTAAACAGAGTTACTCCTCATACACAGTCATGTTTCTCAGTATACTGTTTTCCATTTCCTGTTTGTGGGGGGTTTTGTTCTTTGTTGGTTTGATGTTTTTTGGCAATGAAAGTTACTTTAAAAGATTGGTCTTAATAATGCTCTCATTCAGGGTGCTACAAAAGATTATCACACACCACAACAGACCTTTCCTAGAAGCTGATGGTTTTAATCCCATGTACATACATACAAGAAAACAAACAAACAAACCCAAAAACACACACACAAAAAAAACTTTAAAAGGCTGTTGAGGAAATCTAGATGAAAATTGCAATGAATTAATAGTAGATAAGGTAGCAGCCCACATCCTTTCTGGATGGACATAACAATATTTGCATATATATAAACATTACAGTCAATAGAAAACAAACATTATTAAAGGAAAAAAATCATATGTAATTACTTAAATCCACAAAGGTCATCGACTGATAAGAATTAATAAATTGTTCAACCATTCTGTGACCCACATACTAACTGTTTATGTCTCCTCACAAGCTTCAACATGTTTAAGGTTACTGAAATGTGAGGGGCAAAAAAATCCCAACCATCCACACTTTTTCTTGGTCAGCCAAATAATCCAAAGAGAAATTCATAAGTCTTTGTGCTTTACTAAGACCTTACATCATCAAAGTACCGAGCACACATTTGCTAATCAATGAATTCCCCTGTCTTGAATCTGAAGTGCCTTAGAGGAATGGGGGGTCAAACCACCACAGTTCAGGCAAACCTGGCCTCAAATACTTCGCCAGCTTGATGCCACAGGGGCTGGCAGCCACCTCGACAGCAGCAGGTCGGGCGCTGCTCTGCCTTATGGTGCCCGCCCCTGCTCAGCTCCCTCCGGCCGAGCTGTGCCTCAGAGCGGGGATCCAAAGGTCACCTTCAGCACCCCCGCTTGAATCCTGTGCACGTGGAAGCTGCGGTACAGGGGGCTCACCTTCCAGGTGCCTTTTTTGCTCTCAGCCAGAGCAATCGAAGGCTCCTGAGATCAGCCACCTCTTTGGTGAGGGCAGGCGGGCAGGGGCGAGCGGGGCGAGCAGAGCCTGCCAGCAGCTCGGCGGGGCCACGGCAGAGCAGGTGCCACCCTCGGGGAGCCAGCCCCGGCGCTGCCCGCGGTGCCCAGCCGGGCAGCACCACCGAGCCCCGCACTCCGCGGCACGCCGGCGGCTCCGAGCACCGCCTCGGGGCACGGCACGGCTGCTGGAGCCTCCTGGCTGCGGCCAGCGAACCGTGACACGGACGCGAGGAGTGATCACCACAGGGGAGAAGCAGGACTTCCTGCCCAAAACTGCCGGAGGGGACGAAGCGAAGGGACACACGGCACTTCCCTGCCTCACACAGGGTTTATTTCTCGCTTCCATCGACGCCCAGCTCTCTCTCCCACCACCATGCCCACCGTGTTTGAACAGCCCGGGCTCGCCCCCACCGAGGCGGGACGGGGAGGCGGCCCCGCCGCCACCGCACACAAAGCGGCCGCCCGCCGCCACCGGCCTGCTGCGAGCGACGCCCCAGTCCCCGCCTCAACCTGCAGCCTATGAGCAAGGAGGCACCGCCCCGAGCGGCGGCGGGATCGTACCCGCGCCCGCCGTCGCGCACCGCCGAGGAGAGCGCCGCGCTCCCGTCCCGGCGCGTCCCGTCCCGTCCCGTCCCGCGGCCCCGCGCCGGGGGAAGGAGGCGAGAGAGCGGTGGGTGCTGCCGCCGGGCAATGCGCGGGGGCGCCGGCAGCGCCGCCGCTGCGCCGCGCGGCCGCCAGGTGTCGCCGTTGGCAGCGGAACCCGGTGCCGGCGCTGAGCGCGGGGAGCGCGGGGCCGCCCGCACGGGGCCCTGCCGGAGGCGCGGCGGCGTGAGAGCCCCGCAGGCCGGCGGGGAGGCGATCGCCACCGATCGTGTACGGGGCCCTGCGCCGCAGCGGCTCCCTGGCCCGGCCACTTCCCTTAGCCCTTGTTTGTTTATTTTCAACTGCCCCGGGGGGTTGCGCGCGAGGTCGCAGCGGCGGGAGGTGCGGAGGAACCACTCCGGAGGCGACGTTCCTCGGGGCCGGCGTGGCGCGGGGAGGGGCGGCACAGGGGGCAGGGGCGGCCCCGCGACATCCGAACGCCCTCCCGGAGGATAAAGAGCGAACGGGGCTTTTGGCGCCAAACGCGCGGCCCCGCCCTGCGCGCGTGGAGCGGGGGCGGGGCCGGCGCTCCCGCCATTCTCCCGCTGTTTCCAGTGCTAAGCGTGTGACGGGTTTTTTATTTTGTTGTTGTTTTTTGGGTTTTTATTTAACTCGCCTTTTTTTTTTTTAATGCCCTTTTGGGGGGTTAATAACATCCAGCCGCTTCAAAGGCAAGCAGTGACAGTCATCTGTCTGCGAGCAGAGGGTGGATGCGGAGGCTGGGGCGGCTGCGGGGGCCGGCGGGCGGGCGGGCTCGGAAAGTGCTACAGACACCATCAGCTGCTTTTTTTTTTTCCTCTCCCCTTTCCCCCGCCACTCCTCCCCCTCGCACACCCACCACCATCACCACGGAGGTAAGAAGAGGAAGCTGCAGGTTCTGGGCTGCAGGACAAAACCCCAGTCAAATAAATCCAGTTCCCCATCGCGTTCGAGTTGCCGAACTGGGGAGGATTGGGGCGGGAAGGGGAGCGCAGGGGTAGAGCGGAGCCTGAATGGGGTTCTCAGTAAGCAGAAGAAAATCCTGGAGGATATTTGTGTTTTGGTTTGGAGCTGTCGCATTGAGATCGCCAGTGTTTTGTAGGTGCCTCTTTACTGCTTTGCATTTTAAACAGTTTAATGTATTTAAAAAATAGTAGAAAAATGCACAGTCCGGGAGGCGCAGGGGGCGGGGCGGGAGCGCAGCTGAGCCGAGCCGGGTGCGTTTCTCGGCGTTTCATCATAAGGCTTTTCATGGATTTTTTTTTTCCCCTTTTTGGTCTCCGTCTCAGCGTCAGCTGTTGTGAACCCAGCAGAACGATTTCCTTTCGCGTTACCTTAACCGAGCTGAAGGGAGACGCTGACTGGATTTTTTTTTACTTTAAACGTTTTTCCTTTTTTTAATTTTTTTCTTTTTTTCTGTGGTTTTTTTTTTCTTTTTTCTTTTTTTTTTTTTTAATGTCTGTTGGAAAGGGGCTCTCGGTTTTTAAATTTTTTTCTTTTTTTCTGTGTTTTTTTTTCTTTTTTCTTTTTTCTTTTTTTTTTTTGAATGTCTGATGCAACGGAGCTCTCGGCAAAGGAATGGGGCTGTGGTTGACTGGCCGTGGGTAGTGAGAGGGGGGTCCGGCCGAGGTAAGGGCAGCAGCTCGCACTCGCCGGAGGTGAGAGCTGGTGTGTTTGCAGGAGGTTTGAGTGCATGGAGTGGCCGAATGTGCCGAGTTGCTGTCCTTGCAACCTCGTTGTTGTAGGAAAAAGGGGGGGAAAAAACTTCCCGTGCTTTCTTGGCAAATCAGGAGGCTTTGTTGGTGGCGCCGGGGTGGTTTTAATGCATTTTTGTGAGTGAGGTTATTACATAAGGTTGATAATTTCTGTTGCTGCTGGATTTCCCCTTCTCCCCCTCCCCCCTTGTTTTGTGTGCGGATTGCGCTGGCTCGCTTTGAGTGAATGAACTGGCGATTTGCGAAGTTGCAAAGAGCCCCTCCGCCCCCTTTTCTTTTTTTTTTTTGCATCCTTCTCCTCTCCCCTTTGCACTGCTCCGCAGTGACAAAAGGAGTAAACTTCCTCTACTTTTGCTGGCATATTAAGAAGCCTTTCTGGAGAGATTACGGTATCAAAGCCATGCATCTGTGTGCAGTTACTGTGCTGTTTTGAGCGTTTGAAGCGGTTTGCGGAGAGCAGGCGAGGGCTATGTACACAGGCTGTGCATCCCCGCTGGACTCTGCAGCCTGGGTTTGTGTCCCCACGGAGCGGGGCAGGCTCTGCACGGGGGAGCGCTACCTGAGCGCTTTGATTTCAGTAGCTTGAGTCGGGACGAGAAAGGTGTGTGAGATGCTTTTTTTTTTTTTTTCCCCAACTTTCTAAAGGCTCCTTCTTGCTTGCTATTTATGATGGGATTATTATTTTTTTTTCCTTCATTTAAGAGGAAGGGAATCACGTTCGTGTCTGTTTGTTAGTATTTTTAATTGTGGTTTTGTTGTTTTCTTTTTTTTTCTTTTTTTTTTTTTTGTCACTTTCAGGTCGTGGGAGAACCTCTCTTCTTCCCCTTGGTGGAAATACCGATAAAACCTGTGTTTGAAACTATTGCTTGACACAGGGATCAGCAAAAAGAGACCCGTAATGCCAGGAATGGTCAGTAAAAACCCAGACCTCGAGTTTGACTCTTTGCAGCCTTGTTTCTACCCGGACGAAGATGACTTTTATTTGTGCGGGCCGGACTCCGCTCCCCCGGGCGAGGACATCTGGAAAAAGTTTGAGCTGCTGCCCACCCCTCCTCTGTCTCCCAGCCGGGCCGGGCTCCAGGAGCACCCTCCGGGAGGGGGCCCGGTGCCGTGGGGAGGAGCGGCTCTGTGGGGCTGCCGCCCCACCGACCCCGTGGACTGGGCATCGGAGCTGCTCCTGCTGCCGCCCGAGGCCGACCTGTGGGGCGGCGTGGACGGAGGGGACTTCTTCGAGACGGGCCCCGGCGTGACGAACAATCTCAACTCCATCATCATCCAGGACTGCATGTGGAGCGGCTTCTCCGCGCGCGAGAAGCTGGAGCGGGCGGTGAGCGAGAAGCTGCAGAGCAAGGCGCCCGCCGCGCCGCCGCCGCCGCCGGGGCCCGCGGGCAGCCCCACCAGCGCCCGCGCCGAGCTGGGCGGCGGGGCCGGAGCCTTCGCCGGGCAGCAGCTCCGGCCCGGAGGGGCTGCGTGGTGCTGGGGACTCTCCGGTACCCCCATAGTCTCCTGCCCCCGGGGGGTTCGGGGGGGTGGCAGTGCGGCTGCCAGCGGCGCCCTGGGCACAGGTTTTTGGGGGGATGACCGTGTGCGCGTTGCTTTAGGCGCCATGCGGGCAGGCTGGAGCTGGACTATCGAACCCTTAGAGCAGCTCTTGTGCTGACAGAGCCCAAAATGCCACAAACATCCTCTGTGAGCGTACGCAGAACAGTGCACTTGGGCTGAACCGCGGTTTGGTGTGTGTAGATGAGCTGGTCCCTATGACCACCGCCACAAACTTGGTGATCCGTCCCGGGTTTCAGAGCCTGCTGTCCCTTTAATGTCTGGTTTGACAGCTTTGGGTGAGGAAGCACTTCCAACAGCTGTCTTCTTGGCAGTGCACCAAGCGCCGGCTTAAAGGGTCCCCGGCTGGAGCAGCTTCACCTTCTGCCTCAGAACAAACCCAGCGATTGTTTCGTTTTCCGGCTGCTTTTCTACCAAGCAGGGGCTGTGTTGTGGCTCTGTGCTTGCCTTTTGTGCCACAACTCGACGATTCCATTCAAACTACATACATTCTGTCTAAAAATTCTTTTCTGCCTCTGTGATTGTGTGGGTGGTAGCCCCATTTTGATTGAAAATTAGATGTGTTTAAAAAAACCCATCTCATCAAACTTACTAAGCTTTCAGAAATCCCTGTTCTTTGCTGGTTTCATGTGTATTACATACTTTTACGGTTCTATATCTGACTGCAGATGGTGGGTGCACCCTGGTTTTGCCATCAGTTATTTCATGACTGCTTTTACTGGATATATATTTTGTCAATAAATACTGATACTTGGTCAAGGTATTTTCAGGGAGAATAACGTCTGTTTTATTTTCTGTCCTTTATTACCAGAAGATGATGAAGATGAGGAGGAAGAGGATGAGGAAGAAGAAATAGATGTTGTTACAGTGGAGAAAAGACGCTCCTCTACCAACAAGTCTGTTACCACCTTCACTATTACAGTGCGTCCTAAAAATACCACTTTTTCATCAGTCAGGACACAGCAGAATGGACTGATATTAAAGCGTTGTGCCCCAATTCACCAGCAGCATAATTATGCCGCTCCTTCTCCATTCGTGGAGACTGAAGAGTCTCCACCACAGAAGAAGTTAAAAGTCGAGGTGCCCCGTCCAGTAAAACCCACGATCCAACCAAAGCTTAAGAGTTCAAGTCCTCGAAACTCTGATTCAGAGGACAGTGAACGTCGACGCAACCATAATATCCTGGAGCGTCAGCGACGTAATGATCTACGGTCAAGTTTCCTCACATTAAGGGACCATGTTCCAGAGCTGGTTCAAAATGAGAAAGCTGCAAAAGTTGTGATCTTGAAAAAAGCCACTGAATATGTTCATTCTCTTCAGGCAGAGGAGCAGAAGTTACTGCTAGAAAAGGAAAAATTGCAAGCCAGACAAGAACAATTACTAAAGAAAATAGATTACAAGCGGACTTGCTAAACTTTCTTTTGTTTTGGTGTTTTTTTCTGGCTGATCAGGACAGTCATTGCCACTTTGCACATTTTTGATTCTTTATAAAAAATTGTGTTTTTTGACGTTAAGAATGTTGGTTTTAATTTCAATCCAGTCCCTGAAGTAATCTACAGACTGTATTATCCGGGTACGGAGCAAATGGATTTTCTTGCAAGGAGTTTATTGCAAGACTACCAAACAACAGTGGATTTTCTTGCAAGGAGTTTATTGCAAGACTACCAAACAACAATGGACTGCCTTTGTTTTTTCTTCTTAAGAACTGTAGATGGTGGGGATTTTTTTTTTTTAAGTGTTGTGAGCATTTGGAGCTGCTGATGACATCTAGTTGAGTTTTAAAATGTTCATTCCTAAGTTTTATGGTGCTTATGTTCTAACAGATGTTATTTTAGGGGTTGGCATTTTGTACCCCTGTGGGAATTTCTGTAAATACCATCTACACACTTGCCTTTTGTACATGTCTTGGGTTATGAGAGGTGGCTTTTGCTGCCAGTATTAGACTGGAAGTTCATACCTAAGTACTGTAATACCTCAATGTTTGAGGAGCATGTTTTTGTATACAAATATATTGTTAATCTCTGTTATGTACTGTACTAATTCTTACATTGCCTGTATACTTTAGTATGATGCTGATACATAACTAAATTTGATACTTATATTTTCGTATGAAAATGAGTTGTGAAAGTTTTGAGTAGATATTACTTTATCACTTTTTTGAACTAAGAAACTTTTGTAAAGAAATTTACTATATATGCCTTTTCCTAGCCTGTTTCTTCCAGTTAATGTATTTGTTAATGTTTGGTGCATAGAACTGGGTAACTGCAAAGTTCTGTGTTTAATTTCTTCCAATGATGTACATTTAGTGCTGCGTCTTATAGCACTTTGAAATACCTCATGTTTATGAAAATAAATAGCAATTACATGATGTGCCATTTACTATTTTTCTTTTAAATAAAATCTTTAACTGCAGTATTGATGAAATACAAAAAGCATGGTCACATACCCTTGGCACTTCAACTCTAAGACTGTAGGTGACACTACAAAGGTCAGCTGGACAGAACATTTCCATTTCTGGTTAAATAATAATTGTAGTAAGAACTATGTTCCTGTTAGTTAATACTTGTGTTGTCAGGATTATCCCAGGGGAACATATGTACCACGCTAATGGAATGACTCCTGTGTCCTGCAAAGACTCCTCAAATATCTACTGGATCCAGAGAATTGAGAGGGATCAGAAACATGGCTAGCAAACTTCTGCTAAGAGACTGGCCTGTGTGGTGCACAGGTGAAGTAAATGATGGAGGCAGACTTGCCAAGGCATAGAAAATTAAATACTTGTAGTAAACAAAGATCTTAATATGGGTGCAGTTCTTTGCATTAGGAAAGCCTCAAAGTTGTCCCATCATTGCACTGCAGAATTAATGTTCTTGTTTGTAGCTGAAGGTCCTGTTTGTTACTACATTAGTTAGTAAAATTGAAAATATCAGGGAAGATGCAGAGGCATGAAATGTGTGTCAGATGAAGATGGAACTTGGTTGTCTTGAGAGCTGGCATTCAGTATGACAGAAGTAAGACACTCAACTCGTCATAGATCTCATAATCTGTTTGGTCATTGTGTTAAAAGACCATGAGACCAATTGTTTTCTAGTCTCTACAGGTATTTTTGATATTGTCTTTCCTCACACTGAATCTGAAAAAAAACCCAGGAATTAATGACCAAATGGCCACTAAGTACTTTCCAGATCCACTTTCAGGAAGCTCACCTGTCACATCTGCCCTTGCTTTAGCTACAAAGGAAGTAGCTTGTCTGGTGATGGAGGTACAGAAATCCTGTATTTCCTATGAGGTAACAGGAAGAGCAGTGTGGGGGCAAGCCAGCCCCCACTTAATGGATGTGCCATATGTCTATCCCTACAGATTGTTGATGTACTCATAACCTGTGTGCTTTTGGGCCCCAGGCAGCTTCTGTACTGTGACCACCAAGAACTGTACATAGATCAGTGCAGTAAATCCAGATCTTCAACAGGCGTAAATTGGTGTAACAGTGTGGGCTCAGCTAGGCCTACACAAGCATTTGAAGAACTGGCCTGAATAGAGTTTAAAGATCTAAATTCAGACCCGACCACAGTTGTTCCATATGTAGAATCTTTGATTCCCTAGACATGCTTCTTCCACTTTCCAGTTACAGTAGACAATTGGTGTGAACAATTACTAGCTAAAACAATTTTTAGCCCCCTTTTTTTAGTAATTTCTGTTGAACTCCTGTTGTACTGTTTTCAAACAAGGTATGCGTCAAATGAGTATTCTTGAGGAAGGAAAGTCCCTTCCCCTTTCCCTTCTCCGTCACACTCATGGGAAAACTTTGGTCCAAATCCTCCACTCAGAGTGAACTCTGGGTCAGATCAGGTTGCTCAGGGTCATGTAACCAAGGCTTGAATATCTCAAAGGATTGAGATTCCACAGCCTCTTTGGACAACACGTGTTTTTTGCCTACCACGACTGATACAAATTGTTGTACTATCTGGAATTTTCCTTGTTGCAATCCTTGTCCATTACCTCCTATCTTGTGTTTAACCTCCTGGAAGAGTCTGGTTGCACCTTGTCTGTAAACTCCCAGTAGGGAGTTGAAGACAGCAATTACTTCTTTGTCTTCTTGAGACAACCCAGTTCTGTCTTGTCTTGTGATAACCAAGCATTTAGAGTATAATAAAGGTGTCAAATACTCAGATTTGTTTGGATATTCAACACAAATCCCATCTGAAAGCCTCACAATATCAATTTCTCACTATATATAATGTGAGAGTTCTGGTCTGTTTCTTTAGAATTCAGTGAGAAACATCCAACTGATGTCCGTGGAGACAGAATCTGGTGCCATAACTTTCCCATATACTGTACAATTTGCCTGCTTCTCTGTGCTGTACTACCAGTACTTTGGTATTGTCTTTTTTTTTTGTTAGTTTTTTCCTTTTTTTTTTTTAAATAAGGAGTTGATAGGTTTTTGTTTTGTTTTTTTTTTTTTATATCATTGCTGTAGGGAGTAAGTTGTCAAGGTCAAATATTTCTAGTAAAAAATAATTCAGTTGTAGGATGTTAATAAAATAACAGTTGTTAACTAGAAGATTTCTTTTGTAGTTACATGATAAAAAGAATTGAGAGTTGAAGGAAAGACAGCTTTTGAAAAGAAGTAAGCAATTAATTGTATAATATTTTCTGTAGAATCAGTACAGTAGCCAGAGTGCTACACAGAGAAGGACATAGAATCATAGCTGCAGCCATAACAAAAGATCATTTTGCAAGTGTATCTAGAGTGGGGAGTCCATAAGGACTCAGTCAGATAATTAATTGAGACATTATTGCCTTTTTTTTTTAAATACATACCTACATTTGCATAACAAATACAAACATATCTGTCTAGAGAATCATATGTGGCAAGTACCTAATAGCTGCTTATTACAAAGCAGATATTGCTGCTTCCTGAAAGGAGAACTGAATTAAGTTGATCTCAGTCTTATTGGATCTGCTATAAAAATTCCCAAGTTCTTTTTCTTACAAGACAGAATTTGCTGATGGTGGTTTTCTCCAAAATCACATATCCCAGAGGATGTTCTCTTTCCCTCCTTGTTTATTTTCTTAAAAATACCACTAAGAACACAAGGGACTTGTAACACTAAAATGAAATAATTCCTCCATAAATTAGTAGAAGTGACACACCAGTGGGAGATCTTAAAAAGGTGAAATGTGTTAATGGTGTCATTACCACTCGGTCACCTGTTGCCATGAGTGCTAAGGAAAGTGCATTTCTCAAACCCTGAGCTGCTGTTATAGCAACTTATCGCCAGGTCTTGGCAGGACTCCTTGAGAGATCATGAAATGTATAATTTACAGTTTGCGCCTGGGAAGTATACTGATAAACCAAGCTAGAATAAAATTACATCAAATGGGTGACATTCTTAAGCTTGACTTTTCTGGCTTCTGGCTGGTTTAAATTAGAAGGTGTAATTTTATTTAAAATATTAATTTTGAGATAATAAATTTTTAATGTACAATTACCAAATGCTACATGATCTATACCTGGGTTACTTTCTTCTCCTTGTGTCCATTTCCCATTTCCCTTTTCCCTTCCCTGTTTCTTTTTCTCAGGAACACAAAGCCATCAAACTTAAAGGGATTTGAGGTGTCACAGCAATGCTTTTAAATTAAGCAGGGATTTAAACAGAAACAGGGGATACACAGCACTTCCAGAAATCTCAGAGGAAAGCAGTGGTGCAAAACATGGAACAGAAGCTGATTGTGGAGCCAGCATGGTGGGTTTTGCCTCAGCACTTCTGGCTGCTCCTGGAGCACTGACAAGCCTGAATTCAGAGCCCTTGGTCTGTTCCAAGACAAGCTTTCACTTCTGCTGGACTACCTGTCCAATTTGCTGCCCTACAGTAGTTTTTCTGCAGCCTATCTGTTTTTACTGACCCTGCAATGAAGCTTGGCCACCATAAAACAGATGTTTTGCTGCTGGGTTGTATGATGTGATAATCTTTGCTCCCTGAAGATCTTTGGCTCTCATCCAACTTTGTGCCCTTACTGGCCAGATCCTTCTCTTGATGAGATTTTGATATTTTTTGCACAACAGTCAACTCAGAGAAAATAAAATGAATTCTTGATCTCTGAACCATGGAGGTTCCTTGTGTGTGTGCTGGATGAATAGATTAACATACATGCTGTGTGCACACAAGGGATTCCGTAAGTGTTGATCCATGAGCCCTGCTAAATAAAGCCTAGTGTATATTTTAACCGAGTAAGTTACAAGGCTGTCCATTTGGCCCTTTGAAGAAAAAGCAAACAAAGACATTTAGTTTCCTGTATTTATGATCACAGTATGACACACCTAAATAATGCAGAAATTAAAAATAAGCATCTACAGTGTAACTATAATAATGGCAAGTATTTTTTAACTCCATGGTAAAATAGATGGGGGTGTAGACTTATCAGACTTAAAATTTATGAAACTTATAACTGAATTATGACTTATTTGTTACTGATCTCTGAATTGTTACATTTTGTATGCATGATCATTGTTAGGCTCCATATATGCTGTTCAGCTGCTCTCTTTGTGAGCTATGTCATTTGCCATCATATGGTGTTTCCATCTGACATTATTTAGATAAGTGGAGACATTTTCATTTTATGGTAAAATAAGATTATTTAATTTTTCTTATTCTGTGCTCCCAATTTCTCAGTGTCATTTGTGTGCTTTAAGTGTTTACTGCTTTCTATCTACTTTCTGTTCTTCTACACTGCATTCGTTTAGGAACTGTCTTCTATGTTATCTGTCTGAAGCTGAGTTAGATTGTCTCTGTGAGTGGCTGTATCAATCACAGAACTACAACAAGATCCTGTTGTCTAACAGCTACGTGCAGCTTAGTTTTATATTAGGGGTAGGATGAGTCATGCTGTCTACATCTGTCTAGTTTCACCTTCTAATCTACAAGCTTTACAAGCATTACAGAGTTTTAAGCAACTAGCTGCTTAGCTTCCTAATTCTCCTTATGTAGTCAGCAGAGAGATGCAGGCTCTTCCCAGAGCACAGTCCAGAGCATCTGCATTGGGCTCTACCTGGAACAAGCCCAAGCACTGCTCTGTACCTTGAGGAAAGAGTGATTACAGCATACAAGGGGTGATTATGGGAGCTGCGTTAAGGGCTGCTTTATTGCTGCTGGGTAACCAGGTTACTTGATCTCTAGCTGATCTTACTTACCATATGAAATTTAAAGCAATGATTTGGACAAAACTGCAGGCTAATAGAATAAAACAGTGCATGAATGTAGGATATATAGTTAATTTAATCGGCATAGTTGGCTTATTTGCAAATTGAATAAAATATTTCAATGGCACTTATCTCCATTTCACTTCCTAACACCATCAGAAATAAAT